AATAAAATAAAAAAATGAGAGCTCACAGGATGAATCGAATGGATTCTGCTCCTCTTACTAGTCGACTCATGTTGACGGGTAATGAGCGTGGGAAACTACTATAGGACACTTGGATGACCTCCAATGTTCGGAAAAAGTTACTCTGTAAATAAAAAAAAAAGATATATAAAAATAAAAATAAAGAAAAAAACGATAAAAATTGGGTCAAGTGATGTTGCAATTCGATTAGAGCAGTTAGGTGTTGTTTGTGGAGTTGTTTGGTGAATGGTAAAAGCACTATATCGTTTATTGCGGATTGGTAACAAAGAACTCGAGTAATCTATTTGCTCGAGAATTGTGTTGTTTATTTGAGCCTCCTTTCTGGCATATATATTCTTACCTTAAACCCGCATTATAACCCGTGAAGTCCTCTTAATTCGCATCTTTGAGCTTTGATTGTTTTCGAGTAATTTAAACGATTGACAAGCATATGTTGAAACTTGAATATTGACCAATCTGAGCGAACCTAGCATGTATTCATGTAAGAAAATGAGTGAGACATATATGATAATCTTTGTTTTGGGAGTTTTTCATTTCAAGGCCAAGTTAATATTTGAGGCATACGATCGTACGGTCGTTGGAATTCGACCTAGTTGAATTGGACATTTTGAAACTCTTTTTATTTGAAACTATATCCATGCTCGTGTCTTGTTTTCTTTTCTTTTTGATCGGGACGAACAAAGGTTTTAGTACGGGGGAGTTGTTTGTCCCATTTTTTGTTGTATTTTTCTTTGCTATTTTATCATTCTTTTTCCCTTGATTTGAGTCATTTATTTGGTTTTTAGGTCGTTTTGTCGTTTATTGCATGTTTTGCGTTATTGTAAGTGTCTTGGTGTGTTCGTTTGTTTTCCGGTGTTTTTCGATTTTGTTTTCGTTTTTGGTGTGCAGGTAGGAAGCTCCGAGAGGACAGGTTTTCAAGATAATATTTGATGGGTTTGCATAGTTAGATAGAGGGGTTCGTTAGCGATGCGTAGAAAAAAACGCAACTCAATTCGGAGTTAAAACGAACTCGAACGAGCAAAAATCGTAAAGCCGCACGCAGCAGCCCAGTTTTCTTCACCGCGGCCTCATGAAGGAATCCCGCGGACGCGGAGCACCTCTGAAGCTGAATTCCCGCGGCCTCAGAGCTCCCCGCAGACGCGGAGGTTGCGACAAGATTTTTATAAACTTGATTTTGATTGTTTTTTCGAGGATTTGGCATTGGACTCGTTCCCAGACTGAAAATAATCCCCCAAACTCCTTTTTTCCCCTTCTCTTACCATAAGAACACCATTTTGATCTAGTTTTTCACTTGGATGTCTTCATTTCTTTCGAATTAAGCTCATACTTTGGATTCAACATTGGATTTCTTTATCAATCATAAGCTTTCCTTTTCATTTAACCTATGAATATGAATGTTTGGGTTGTTGTGATTGATTGTGTTGAGTTTACTTTACGTAGCTAATTCCGATTGCTAGGGATATGGGATGATTGTTCTTGTTTAAATTCGTTATTGTTGGGCTTTAATTTGTTCGTTCTTGTGCGAGTTGCTTTAATTAGGATTGATTAATTCTTGCTTATTAGTTTGATATAATCGAAGGGTGACACTTCGATCTTGTGATTGGAAATAATGGAATATTGATCTTTCGAGTAAAGTGTTGTTGATTCTAAATGATTAGTTGATTAAACTCCTTTTAATTTAATTAGCAACTTTTAGAACCGAAAGGGGAGAAGTCGTAGACCTAGGCTCGCATGAAATAGATGATTTCGTCATTGAATAGTCTATGGGTTTTGGATTGCAATACATTCTTGTCGATGAACCTTCCCTTGTTACGAAAAGTTATTGGGATTGGGATAATTGGTCTGTGTGTATGCTCGAGCTTGTTCGTCTATGTTCAATCACTTGTTACGAAATGGTATTGGGAGCGAACCACTAGATGTTTGAACGAGAGTGTCAATCTAAAATAGAATGATTAATGTCCCAGTTTTGCGAATAGAACTTGAATTGATTATCCCTGACTCCCTAGCTTCTACATATTTGTTTCGTTTATATTTGTAGGTAGATCCATGCTTTTTTTTTTTATTATTTCTTAGTTGGTAATTAATCAAAACTCTTATCTGATTAGAGTGTTTAGAATTTGTTTTCCTTTTTATGTGTTGTCAATACCAAATCTAAATTCTGAATCACCTTCCTCGAGATCGACCCGGGGAACGAATCTTTCGATTCGGTACTCAGTAAAAATAACAATTTGTACACAACAGGTAGCAAAATCATAAATACATGAGTTACCATAGCCAAATAAATACACCAGGGGGCATTTACGTAATTCATTACACACCCAAAATAAGTGGGCACCACACATATATCCTACAAACCAGCCACGATGTAGCGCCCCTTTCGTTTATTAGAATATTCGTGATTTATATGATTATTTATTGGCTTTATATTTGATCATTGTCCTTGTATTATATTATTTTTTCATTTACTATTATTAATTGCTCGTTATTGCCTTAGTTTATTTGTCTGCTTGAATATTAAATTGCTATGTGATATAATTTGTGTGATTGGTTTATGATTATTTTATTTATTTAGATGTGTGAATAAGTTAGAATGATTTTAGATAGTTGCTTCTTTTGGCTTATTCACGTATAATATCAGAGCCGTTACTTTATTTTCTGGCCCAATTTCAGTTAAGAATATTCAGCCCAATTGGGATCTATTTTCCAGCCCGAATGAAGTGGTAATGTTTTAGCCCTTTTCTTTGGATTTGTACCCGACCCAGGTGTAGTGATATTTGGCCAGTTAAAATTTATTTTGTGGCCCAATTTAAGTTAATCATCCGCATATCCATTTTCTTCTTCCCAAGCGCGACCAAGTCCTTCACTTCAAATTGTTGTTGCGATTCTTGTGGAGATATCTCTCCCACGTTTGTCTCGTTTCTCCTATATCTAGACTCGGCCATAACTTCTCTTCTACAGAGAATATATAGTTCAAAATTATCATCATCTCCTTCTAGCACTTTGCATTTATATATAAAAAAAAAAATCGTAACTCAATTCCGGCAACTTCAAGCCACGTCCAGTAGCCATTAACGACGGTGTTTTCATCGTTCTCCGAGCATCCCATAGTTTAGGCGACTACCATTGTTTCAGGAGATCATTCGGTGAGCCGTTCTCTCATAGCAAGCAGTTGGTGTCCGCCATAGCCGAAGAGCATGCCGCCGAGCTGTCCGTCGAGTCCAGGTCCCGCTGTCTGTTCGTTGTGCGTCAAGGGAAGCAACAGAGAGATTGCAGCAGGTCGTTTGACGTTATTTTTTGAGTTTGAGGGATTTCGAGGTCCCGATTCCATCGTCCGTTTGTTCGAGTTCCGTTCAATTCGTCCGTTTCCAACTAAGCTCGTAGACCAGAAGTGAGGTAATCGTCGAACCTCTGTTGGATATTTGGTGTAAAATTACTCGGGAATCCTACGAACTGATATGTAATTTTCAGTTCTTACAAATAATCTAAAAATATGAAAATTACAGTTGAAATGAAAAAATAAATTACAATTGAAAAAAGGAAAGAATTTTAGCCGAGACGAGTAAAAACTCTTTCAGCAAGAAGAATACGCCCCGTGTGGCAGCTAACGATTCAGACGTAACCACGACAAAAAAACACTACAATTCCAACGAAAAATTCCAACAGCAAAAATTTCTGTTGGAAATTCCAATGAATATTCCAAAAAACTTAATTTTATGTTCGAAAAAGTGTTGGATAGCTGAGGAATTCCAACGGATTTTTTCCGTTGGAATTGCTGTAGGAATTTATTTCCATAGGATTTTTCGTTGGATATTTGCTATTCCAACGGCCGTTTTTCCAACTGATTTTTATACGTAGGAATATCCGTTGGAATAGCTATTCCAACGGAAATATAAAAAATTCCAACAGAAAATTTCCGTTGAAATGTAAGAGTTTTTTTTGTAGTGAACTTCCCCAAAGATACAACGGCAAACGTCTCTAAATCTGTAGTACACCAGATTTACGAGTTCCAGTGAACTACGGATTCAAGAATTGAGCACTTAAAAATAAAAGGAATATCTTTTAACAAATAAAAATATCACTTGTTTTTTCTCTTTTGATATTTATATATCCGATATTTGGACATATATTTTTCTTTTCTTTCCTTTGTCTTTCTCTTTCTTTCCTCTCTTTTTTCTCTTCTTCTATTTCTTTCTTTCTGCCGTGTGTGTTCATCCCTTCAACTTTGCAGCCATTGTGATATATATATATATAGCAAATGACAATAATTTGGTTGTTGGAAAGTAGAAATAATTAGTTGAGCAAATACCAATTAGTTGAAATTGGTTGAACAAATTAATTGTTAGTTGAGGAAAATTATTATATCTTAATTATCACTAAATTAACTAACAACCTCCTCATTTTATTTTCGTACTCGAGTATTGTAGTTGGATTTATCATGTTCTTGGAATCGAGTTTTGTTGCTTTCGGATTTTTTTCGGTTCGTGCGTATAGTTCGATTGTGATGTTTCGTGTAATTTATTCGTGGAATTATTGAAACCCTCGTTCATATTATCGAGTCTTGTTGCTGCTGTGAACATGTTATTTTGGAGTCTCGTTGTGTTATTTTGAGCCGTCGTTCATGTTGTTCGTGCCGTTCGAGCCTTTTAAGTGACGTTCGTTCTTCAATCCGAATCCCATGTTTATAATGTGTGAGAATTTGGGAAAAATATGTTGTGTATTATTCAAAAGACATGTACACATATATATAGGAACATAATGAGCCTAAATCTAATCCTACAAGATATAGACAAAATATATTATAACCATATATACAATATATTCTAACATACTAATATATGCTATCCATATATATCATATATTCTAACACCTCCCCTCAAACTCAAGGTGGTATAGTAGATAGCAACTTGAGTTTGCAAAGTAGTAAGCAAAAGCGACCCGGAAGGAGAGACTTTGTGAAGACATCAGCTATCTGATCTGAGCGGCGCCGCCATGAGCAGCCAGCCCATGCCCTCCTCCGCCGCCTCCACGGCGGACTCGTAGGAGACGCAAGCATAATAGCTCTGCGGTGGAGTCAGCAAGAGCACGATACTCAGACTCGGCACTCGAGCGGGAAACTGAGGTTTGCTTCTGACTGCGCCAAGAGACAAGTGAATCACCAAAT